TAGCAAACGGTACTTGTGTTCCCTACAACGTTGGACAGGTTTGTTGCCAATCATGTCATTTGCTACACTAATATTTGTCCTTTTAGAATTACTCTGCAGGAATAATTAACAATGGTTCTGCGAGTTCCTTAGATATAGCTAATGCTTTGTCGCTATATATTTCATCGTTTTCGAATGCGAATTCCTCGAACACTACTAATAGCATTCTGTCCCCTAGTGAAATCGACAATGCGGTTAGCAGAACGAATGGTATTAGTGTTACTGTCAACTCCGTTAATTCTTTCCTTATTGCTCAACAGTTGAATCAGAGTTCAAATAATATTGTATTGGGTGCAACATTTCAACGAGGTTCGGGTGGAAACTCTGTCACAGATTCTACTATGAATTCCTCTATAAGTACAAACTTTACCGTGGGTGCCGTTATTAGCAGGGAATCATTGCGAAATGTGAGTTCTCTGGAAATGTTTATTATAGATAAACCAACTATGTACGAAAATATTGATAATAGAACAAATAAATCGCTCGCATCTTCAGTTGTTGTTGGTTCAGTTCAACCACTGGGTTCTGCAACTGTCTCAATGAATATTTCTTTATATTTACAAATATCATCTGAATACCGACCAAATGGAACAGTAACTTATTTGTGTTCGTTCTATGATATCAGTAACTCCTGTTGGAACGAAACTGGATGTACAGTGCCTGTGTTTAACATTGAATTTAACCGATATGAATGTAGTTGTAACCATCTCACGGCATTTGCTCTTACATGGTCAGTCGCTTCGGTATTAGAAACAACAAGCAATCTGATAGCAACGAATCCAGTTACAACAATTGGTACAGGCACCTCTGGCGCCCTAACATCGTCCACTCTCACTAGTATGTCTTCAACAAACAGCACAATCACCGTGACTCAGGCAACGGCCACTCCTACTACAACTGAGCAAACGATTAACATCGCCACGACAGTTATGCCTAGTACAGTGAATAGTACTGCAACTACGGAATCGTTCAGTACAGCGAATGGTACAGCTACTACGGTAGCTTCCACTACAGCAAATACTACAGCAATTACGGCAGCTTTCACTACAGCAAATACCACAGTAACTACGGAAGCCATCACGGCAGCAAGTACGGCGGCATTCAGCACATCAACTACGGCGGCGCTCATTGCAGCGAACAGTTTAGTAACTACGGAAGCCATCACGGCAGCAAGTACGGCGTCGTTCAGTACAGCAACTACAGCGGCGTTCAGTACAACGAATAGTACAGCAACTACGGAAGCTTTCAGTACAGCAATTATGGCAGCTTCCACTACAGCAACTACGGCGGCGCTCATTACAGAGAACAGTACAATAACTACGGAAGCCATCAGTGCTGGAAGTACGACGGCGTTCAGTACAACGAATAGTACAGCAACTACGCCAACATCCACTACCGCGAATGCTACAGCAACTACGGTAGCTTCCACTACAGCGAGTACTACAGCAACCATGATGGCGTCTAGTACAACCAATAATATAGCAACAACAATAAATTCCGGAGATAATACAACGGAACCGGTATCTTCAGTGCAGTCGACATCAAGTTACACTATCACCAACATCACAGGAACTGCGGGTAGCACGGCAGGTATTACAACCGTACTAATCACGGCAGCGCAGTCTGCAGCAAGTTCTACTACAGGTAATTTGGTAGCTAGCACAATAGCTTCCGGATCAAATAATATATCTACTGTAACGGCCTCTTCAACTGGGCAGCTGATGTCGTCGAATTCCGTTTCGAGTACGTTTTCATCAGCTGCACTCACGACAGCATCGATTAGTATTGGTTCAACTTCTTTGGTTACGACAGCTGCGACAATAACAACGACAATATCCACGTATTCTCCTGATGCGTGTCGTAATTCCTCGAATGTGGCGCTAGCAAACGGTACTTGTGTTCCCTACAACGTTGGACAGGTTTGTTGCCAATCATGTCATTTGCTACACTAATATTTGTCCTTTTAGAATTACTCTGCAGGAATAATTAACAATGGTTCTGCTAGTTCCTTAGATATAGCTAATGCTTTGTCGTTATATATTTCATCGTTTTCGAATGCGAATTCCTCGAACAGTACTAATAGCATTCTGTCCGCTAGTGAA